ACGTGGGCAGGACCTTCAAGATGTGGTGGCAGCTCCTGCTCACAGGCCTGTTCAGGGCTGCCCCTGTCCCCATGTCCACTTGGCACCAGGGTCCCATTTGGGACTCTCCAGAAGGCCACCTTTGTTGGCATAGAAGCGTGGCCTTGACGGGAAGGGCCTGGGGTGCTGTGTGCTGTTTGTCTCTGGTGGCATCCTGCAGGCGGAAGCTCCACCAGTTACAGATGTGAACAACAGGAGGGGCACCCACTGCCCACACCCCTGCGCTCTATAGGATGATGGGGTATTCGTGCTGGGCCCAGCTGGATGTTTCTCAGAGGCAGGCCAGAGCCGAGGCCGAGCTTAGGAGGCCTACGCTCACACAGCCCTCAGTGGAGCCACCAGCCACCAGCCAGCCTCGGAAATTAAAATGACACAATGAAAATGGAAATGAAAATTGAAAATGAAAATTTAATTGAAATGAAAATTAAAATGAAACCTGCCCTTCTGGGCCAGCAGATGGTATAGCAGTTATGTTGCTGGACTCCCACATGGCCGATCTCGGTTCAAGTCCCGGACCCAGTGGCTTGAAAATCACGCTGGGTGCGATCCTGGGAGGAGAATGGAGGAAAAAGGATTGTCCCTCTCACTGTCTCTGTCTTTGTCTCTCTCTCTCCCGCAATGAGTACATGTACTCTAAAGCAAAAACCCTTTGGGGGTGGGGGTGGGGATAAACCCTGCCCTTCCAAGGCTGGGGGTCGTGTATATGACCATGCCAAACAGGGCTGAGCCGTGGAGGGACCCTAGGGTTCCTCCAGGGCCGAGTTCTTTCCCAAAGAGATACTCTCCTTGCTCATGTAAGGCCCAGCCGTATCTGGGGTACCAGGTACCTGGGGGTAGGGAACCAGAGCTCCTGGGGAACACACACTGTGTAGCCTCAGGCCAATACGCCACTCCCCCACTGGGAATCGATGCAGCTGGGGGCAGGCAGGTCAGGGATGGGGCTTCACTAGCAGGGGAGCACGGGACTTGGCTTGAGGTGGCTTGGGGAGGATGGGGGCCGCGTGATGGGCCTTTCTTGTGGTGTCTCCCCAGACGACACTCCCACCAGCCCGCCCAGTGGCTCCTGCGTGGCTGGAGCTGTTACCGATCCCTGTCTTGCTGCTGCCAAGCAGGAAAGCAGCCCTTCTGGAAATGCAAATAGCTCCACCGCCATCTCTCCTGATTTTGGATGTCGGTAACTGAGCTCCCGGAAAGCCAAATTATAGGTCTCTCGTTATTTTCTGTCTCTGTCTCTTTCCGTTAGGAAGATGAGGTTAGGTTGGCGTCCTTTGATGGGAATTGCTTCTCAGTAGCAATTCCCAGTCACCCCCTTCCCACCCCTTCGTGCCCTAATTTTCCCAGCACAAATTAAGGGAATAGGCCTCTGCAATTTAAATCTCAGATTCCCCACCTACCCTACCAGGTTCTCAGGTTCTGGGGATGAACCTGCACTTCCTACTGGAGAGGCTGAGGCTGGCAGGTCAGGAGGGCCTGGCCTTGAAGCCAGGCAGCCCCCAGGAAGAAGCTGCTGAGTCCAAGCCTGCCCGCCTCATCCCCAAGTCACCAAACTCGGGAGGGCCTGACAGGCCACCTACTTTTCCAAAGACTGGGGCACAAACCGACCTGCCCCGCACTCCACCACCTCCCACCAGCACTGTCCTCGGCCCTCTGTCCTGTGATCCCTTGCCATGGCCTCACTATTTCTCCGTGGCGGGGCTCCAAAGGGCAAGGGCAGAGCTGTGGAGTCAGGTGGTCACTTGGGTCCCTGACCCCTCCATAGCCCATGCCCAGCCCGTGGCTCTGTGACCCTAGAGGGGAGCCCCAGCCGGTGCGGGGACCAGTCCCTCAGGGTGCTCAGAGCAGTGGCAGATGTGTGGAGTGTGGTCGGCGTGTACTTTGCTGTTAGCCCCTCACTGGCCTCTGGCAGGTCGCCCCTTCCCCGGAACTTGAGCCATGTGTCAATGGGATGGGGAGCACATGACCCCGGGGTCCCTCGGCCCTGAAATTCTAGGTGGCCAGGTCACAGCTCTTCAACCTGTGGCCCTAGCCGTGGGCATCCCTGTGGTAAGGACTGAGCATGAGGAGGCAGGCTCCCCGAGGCTCTCCTTGCTGTCCCTGGGGCCAGCGCAGGGTGGGTGCGTGCGATTGCCGAGTCTGAGAAAGCCATCCTCTGCGCAGGTGTGAGCTTCGCCCCAGCTCCCTGTCGTCCTTCGCTCCCTAAACAGTTTGCTAAGATGGGCCCCTGATGGCTGCAGCCTTAATTGGTGTGTGGCCATTTAAGGGGGGCCAGAATCCACCCAGGGGTTCTCTCCTCACTGAGCACCCCACTCCCCTCCGCCCAGGCTGCTAGGAGGAGAGCAGGTCCGCTAAGGCCACAGTCGTGGCAGCCGCCCTGGTGCCCCAAGGCATCGCTCCTCTAACCACGAGCATTTCTGCCCTGGCGTCGTGCGGCCATGTCTGTTGCCTAGAAGGCTCCAGACCACTCCAGCCAGCCGCCCTGCACCAGGGGCTCGCTCAGCCACGTTGGGGAATGCTC